GTTTTAATGTTGACAAACCCTCTAATTGATCATATTGACATCGAGATGTATGAATATGGGGAAAAAAAAGATTTTGAGTCCAAAAAGTAGTGCATCTTGCAACAGATTATCTAGACCGTCCATTTTCAAGATTTTCATATGTTTATAGATATACTTGATTTTATCATTTTTGTAGTTGTAAAATTTTATAATTAGATTTGAAAATAGATTTTAAGATAATCCTAATACTTCTTTACACCAACCTTACATGTTATGATAAAATTTGGAGGTGCACCACCTTAATTGGATTGTTTAAGGTTGCAACCTTATCGAAACCGCACCATATATATATATAAGCTCACATGAACTCTTAAATTTTCATAATTTTGCTAAAAAAAAGTGTGTTCATTTAGGTATTTTGGAATGATCTATTGCGTCTCATTCATGATGAAGAAAAAAGAAAGTAGTGTTTATTTTCTTGAAGGGATTCATCTATTGTTTCTTATTTTCAGGTTTAATGAAAAATTTGATGGAGTAGTATTGTCCTTTCATGACTTGAAAATAAAGGATAAAAAGGCCGTGGTTCTTTCAGGGCTGTCTCCATATTTTGGTGTGAAATTGAAAGCAAAACTGTTACTTTTCTCCCCAAAGCCAGGAATGCTTCTAGGTAACTTTTATGATTCTTAATTTACACTATGTAGAAGTGCTTCATGTGTTTATGGGTTGAGATGCTTCCATCTTTGGCATATCTTGCCATTGTATGATTTTCGTGCATGGAGTTAAGTACATTTCTTTATTAGGGAAGTGCCATGCTAGGCCTGGTTTTCATTGATTTATCAAAGAAAATTACTAATCTGTTGTCTTTCCTATTGCAAAAGAAATAATGATATGTATGTGTTTGTAGTTATGTTACATACGTCGAAGCAAACGAAAACTCATGAGGATGATTAGAAAGTACAATTTTTTTATGGATGGTGATCAATGTTGAATTAACTTAAATGAATCTATGACATTGAATGATTCTATCTAGTTGTTTAAAACCAGGACTCTTTAGGTTCCTGAACCCGAGTCAGGAAACTTGGACTTGCCCAAGTCTATCAAGGACTCTAGCAGTTCCCATGGTTTTGGTTTCAGATTCCGTAACCTGCGGATTCGGAGTAATTTGGGCAAATCTGAGATCGACTCCCCGAGTTTTTTATTGACTGGTGCTATCATGTGGATATGATCACTTATCGAAAGTAAAAAAAAGATTTGATCTTTGATTAGAGATTAATTTGGTTTCTTTTGTGATAATCCGTCGCATGAAAGCAAATGGGCTTCTTGTTTTCCTCTAGATGCTAGTGCATTATCATCTCTCTTTGTTGACCAAGTAGACCCAATTGCTGCTTAGGTACCCCCTTAGGTTTTGGGGGTCATGAAAAGACTTTATGGATAGCTGCTTTGTTCTTTCTTTTCCATACTTTTCGCAGAGCTACCTTGATGCTTCAAATGGGGCTGGGTGTGGCGGTCGAGAGTTGAGACATTTCGACACCTAAACACTTGCATAGACACAGCCTCGACACGGTAATTGTACATGTCGGGTTATTGTGATGATGTACGTGTTTACACTTTTTATAAAAGTACCCTCACTTATTGTTACACATAAAGCCTCCTGTCCAAGTGGTGGACATGCTTCTCTTAAATTAAAAGTAGCTCCCTTTTTAAAGTACTTATAATGTGTTTTAAAAGTTGTACGTTGCATAAAATGCCAGCTTGGGATTGGAACCTTGGACGTGTTGCACTTGCAAAGGGATTGCAAGTGCTACCACCACGCCATGCTAACACTTGTGCACACAATTTCATTAGTTATATGATATAATATAGGAAAAAAAAAGGCTTTAATTGAAAGTTTTAATAAAAGTTATAGTATAAACATAGTTATTCACTAGGAAATGAATATATATATATATATATATATATGGAAAAAGCTGGGATTAGCCCACTAGCTCATATGAACATATGAGCCCAACGACCCAGATTCTGGAAAAAGCTTGGATTAGCCCACAAGCTCATATGAACATATGAGCCCAACGGCCCAGATTGAATCTGGGCTGATCTGACGAACGGATGTTTGTTAGTGCTTGAATTTTATTTATTTTTCTACAAATCCAAATTACTTGAAATTTTAGGTGTGTGTTCTTCTCATCAAGGCGCACTTAATAAAATAATAAAAAAAGTTATTCGTGAAAAAAAAAGACCAAACTACCCTCAAACTTTCCGAGCATTTGTTCATTTATTTCATGTAAATATTTTTTGTATATTTTACGTAAGATTCTACCTATTTTGTATAATACA